GCCAAATGCAAATTCGCTGCAACAAAAACACGTTTGATACATTGAGTAAAATTTATTCCATGCATGTGAATGCACCACCCAAACCCGAGCACATCATTTGCTCGACATTCAGTACATCTGTTGTGTTAAGTGACTGTAATTTAGGTGACATTGGCACAAAGCCTCTTAATGTAGCCCCGGTGGACCCCCTGTAAGAGGGGCACGCGGGACCAAACAGAGGCATCTCGCAGCTGGAGCTGCGTCAAGGATCATTTCCCTCTTCACATGATTAATTACAGTTTGATCACTTGAATCTAAATCTGATTAATTTTGGTCACATGTCAGAGAGGCATCAGTGGTCTATAATGTATACTGTGTTAATCTGCAGCAGCCTCTCCTTGAGAATCATTTTATGAGGTTACAACATGTGAAACTAATGTAGTGCATGTGTGAAGTGTCGAAACGATCACTTTATGTCATTCCACTGTGGATCTTTGGTATCATTGTGTGTAAATTTCCTGAATTTGCATCCTGAATGCGAGATGTGCTGTCTTTAATGGACCACTCACACAACGAGGTGATTTCAGCTATACATTTATCGTCTCTCTTTGCACACGTTACAATCTGTAAATGTATAGGAGGAAATATCCGACAAGCTGTGCGCACAACATTAACCTTCTCCTGGAAATGCCCTGATGGGGAAATGTTTAAGAAGCTACACATAACAAGTCCTCCGCAATCCTTGTCACTCAAATCTGTTTTTCTTTTACTATTGAGAAACGCTGCAGGGCTCCTCCAAAACACACACGCTCCCCTCCGGACCTTAAGGCCAGATTCCTGTCCTAAGTGGTTGTTGTGGAACTCCTGAGCTGTCAGAGCCTCAGCGTAATCCCTCTCATGGGTCAGGATTCAGTGTCAGGTCTCAGTTTACTGTACGGATTTACCGGCCTGAGCCTCGCTGTGGTCTGTTGAAGAGGCGCAGGTAGCTCCAACTTGTCCAGCTGTTTAGGAAAGACATTCCTAAAGCCAGGGGTGTGTCTATATGCTTGGACGGGGGGGCCCAACTTGGGTTTGTGGGGGCCAGTGTGTACAAATCTTATGCTAACACAAAAGTTTGGTCCTTTTTTAACTGATTAAAAAGCATTTACAACATACACAGTTGACCTTTTACACTCAGTGTAGAATCATTTAAAAGACTTTTTATGACTTTTTATGCTAATATGCTGTCCTTGCTGATCCATGGAGGTGAAGAAAATACATTTCACACAGACTAAAGTGGTAAAATAGAGAAATGTACTTTACTCAGAGTATAAAAACACTTTTTCTTTGGCTTAAAATAAAGTGCAACCAAAACACACAAGGAGGGCTGTATTGCACTTCTTCATCCAGTACCTATCAGGATTCATCCAAACTGTGAAGCCTCGAACTAAACAGGCTTTTCAGTTTATCTCCAAAGTAAGATAAACCAACGTTTTGACAAAAACTATGAACAGTTGTAGGAGAAAAAAAAGCTAAAGTAAAGTTAAGATATCACAAAAATGTGAACTCAACGCAAATAAGTGACTAAACTAAAATGCATCCTCTGTATTAGAACAACTGGTTCCATGTACAATCGGAAAACAAAACAGTCTTCAACGGTTGACAAGTCAATATTATAATTGGTGTTTGATGAACATTTAACCTCATTTTCATTCACAAAATCAACTCTGCTCCAAACAAGCAAGTGTAATTCATAGGACACCATCGAATATCAGAAAGGGCCTTTACCAACGTAAACCATCTCTTAGAAACACCACTGCTAAAATGTCAAACTTCAGAGGATTCACAGCAAAGTTTTAGCTTTATTAATGTTGTAGTCTGGAGTTCAACAAAAAGGGAAGGATCCACTCGCACAACAAAAAATGGATTTATTAAAAAGAACTAAATAAAAAGCAACAAAAACTTCCAAAAAGCAAAAAAACCACCAGGAGAGTAGGGAAAGACCAAAGATCACGGGGAACGGGCAGACATGCGCACAGATCGACAAACATACATAGAATGAACTAACAAGGAAACAGGGGAAGACGGGGACTATATATATATACACACACAGGGAAACGAGCAACGAGAGGCAGATGAGACACTGAGACACAGGTGAGGACAATCACTAAGGAGGGAGAAAAACAGGACCATACACACACAAGGATGGACGACGACAAAATAAAGCAGGAAGTACAGACAACTACTCTAAAGAATAAAAGACTGAGAACATGAGGGAAACGGGGGTCAGACACAAACTGAAAACTCACAAGATCAGAACAATAGAGAACAGAAACACTAGAGATCAACAGAACATATCAGGAAAAATACATTTGCCTAAATTGGCTAAAGTTTGCAGGGTGTCATCAAGTAATCGGCGTCTTTAGTGGTAAGTAAGTGCACCATCATTACAACACAACGTCAATATTACCTTATCATCGTTTAACTTGTGTTTTATAAACACAGGGAGATAAAGTTTCATTATGACAAGTGTATGTCAAAATATGTAATTGTTTATATTGTGCAAAAATAAAGCAGAGTAATGCTTTACAAAGTTAATTTTGAGAGTTTTCCGGGTCGGATTGAGTGTCTTTTTACATGCCTCTAACTCAGTAAGACCATGTTACACAAAATCGAAACTCTCGTTCAAAACCCTGGACATTTTAAGGATCTGGAAGACAAGCCAGACAAGCCCTGACAGCCCCCCCAAAAAGACTACATGTCCAATGAAAAGAAAACGTATAGTCACCCTGGTAATGTGCATACGTAACCATCTAAGTAACTGGTTTATAATAAGGGGAGTAGAGGTTCTTTGACTGGTTTCCACCTGCCATAAATCAGGGGTATGACGAAGAATCAGCAGAAGAAGAAAACTCAGTAGCCTTACTAGCTAGCTAGCTTTTACCGTAGAGTTACTATTGCAGCATAGATCATGACAGATGAAGTCATTTAAGCCCTGTTTATCCGTACACAGTTATTTTTTAAAACAGAGAGACATGAACCATCGTTTGCACCCTTCATGTAGACGTAAACCGAAAATTCGCCCCGGAAAACGATGTTTTGTGGAAAACTCAGGCAAGAGTGGACTCTGTTTGCACGTTTGCATGTAAATGGAGATTTGGGTAGCTGACCGCAGGAAAAAAGGAGAATGCAGAATTCTGATTGGCTAATGTGGGCTTGAGCTTCTCGCTACACTGCCACCTACAGGTTTGGCATGCTCTTGACGACATATATACACACGGGTTAGTGTCGGGCACGTGTAAATGTAGTCTTGTGTCCGTAACAATGAGTGAACTAAATTGGACTTCTCTGTTACGGGCTTGTGATGGAGATAAAACACATCTTTCCACTATATTGTTATCGTACATTTTGGCGGCAAAAAAGCACGTGTTAAAAAATCCGATACCGTGACAGCCAACTTTGCAAACTTAAACAGGAGGAAATAAAAGTTAAAATTTGGATCAATACCTGTTTCAAAGAAGTCTAAAAAGTGCAGTGAAACAGCTCCTCTCATCTCTGACCTTAAAAATATGGCAGGAATGTTTCGTGAGTGACAACAGGAAAGTGCAACGCAAACACGGCGAGGCCTACAGGTCACCTTTACAGCGCCTGCGTGTCCAACAGCCTAAAGCTTGTGTGATTTTCTCCGTGTGTGGGTTTTTGTGGTTATAATTCATCCGTCAGCTACAGGATCAGCGTTCCCGCAAAACCAGTAATTAGATGAGGCTGATAAACACACGAAAGCGAGCGGGGAAACTGAAGGAAACTGACTGTCCAATAATTTACTTTAGTTTTTTTTTTTTTTCCCTGAAAGAGAAATTCAAGGTGCTGCTGCTGCTGCATCCTCACAGGGTTTTTTGCACTAAAAGCAGTGTAATTTTTTAATTCAGAGATGACAAAACAAAGCGTGTTCTGGATATCTCTCCAGTGTTGAGCATTGTTTCGTGTAATCAGACTCACCTTGACTCTGCATTGTGGGCAAACAGCGGTGGAACTGTAATTGTAGATGTGCTGTACGTTTTAACACAGGAATATAAAAGGGGTTCACAACAACAACTTGCAGGGGAGGCTTTGTGAAGTGTGTGAGCTCGGGAACTGTGATCCTCAAGGGCGAATCAGCGGAAAACAAAAGCACACAACAGTCGTGGCCTACATTCATGTTGGAGTGCTTTCAACGCCAACAGAGCTTATTTTCATACGCCATTAATTGCTTGAATAGATTGCCTGTTGAATTCTTAATGTGCTATAAATTCCGTGTTTGTTTTCCGCGGGTTGACAGCGCGCAGGCACACTGTGTCAGGCCGGGTCCTGTAATCAACACTGGCCTTGGAAGAACTTCAGCTGAAGGAAAAAAAATATAAAATACACCCATCCGCGCTCTCTCCTCTCTTCAAGTTTATGTTCTCATGAGCTTTTGTGCACAAGTTTGCCTCTCATTCCGCTCCTGTCACAAAGGAATCTATCCGTTTCATCTGTGCTGTACATCAATGGGGCTCGTGGGATGTATAGTAGCCTCCTTTGTGCTCATCTTTCCTATTCAAGAGGTAGGTGTGAAAGCTTGGAGAGGGTCACCGAGCAGTACGCAGCGCTGCCAAACAGATTATCCCGCCGCACAGTGAAGAGTTGGACAGCAGTGAAGGGACATCTCGGGGTTTTTGTCTCCTCAAAGTGCAGAATCAGTCGTCACTGCGGGGCTTTTACCTGTAGGAGTCAAACCCTGCTTCCAATCCATTTTAATGCATAACCAGCAGGGCTTTCCTTTCCAGCTTAATTCGTACGCAGGGACTTTGCATGTTTTAAGCTCTATGCAAATATTATTGGATTTTCCAAGGATTTGGGCGGATTTCCTGCCATGGATTTTCCTTTACAAATGTCTTTAGAAAATAAAGTGAACCTATTTTATTTAAATTCGGTTTAAGAAGGCAAACAAATATTTAGATGCTAAAAATATTGAAGAGGGAGCTTGTGAAGAGGGAACTGAACTTTATTTCAGATATTTCTGCCCATGCTGGAATTTACTTTTCCACAACCTTTTACGGAAAATAAAGCGTCTTTCCCATCAGATCTGGTAGCGTCATTATCATATTACTCATAAGGCTTATGATGCACGGTTTTCTTCATGCAAAAGAGTGGCTTATGGCCCCGCATATCAGAGTAATGATCTTGAACAATGTTTTTCAGTGGCCTTGGTGGAATGTACCTGGACCAGGCCTTGAGTGCAGCCCTGACAACGTGACATCCTTGAGAAAGCCAAAAGCCTGTCCACAATAATGGGCTGCCGTTGCTTTCATGTCATCGGAGAGGGAGTCGTGTTGAGGGGGTTTGTTTGGACATGTCCGCGCAGGGTGAGACGTCCCCTCTGGCCGTGGAAGATGACACTGGATAAGGTAGAAAGCAGACAAAAGCAGGTACAGTCAGACCGAAAAGGTGGAGCCTAATACCTCTAAAAGATGTGCACAGTATCCGTAATCTTCGCCACCAACGAACGCCCTGACAAAGGCCTTAATCAGACGCCGCTATGAGAGGAATTTGAGGTGCACATGTTTTCGATTAGCGCTCCCTCTCTCATGTACTGTTCCTGCTCTGCCATCTTTAACGGTGCCAGAACTTTCAGCAATAATGTTTTCCCCAACAAACTGCAGAGATCCCTGTATTTAAAACATTACGCCTGTGTTCTGTCAGCATACAGGGTGAAGATTTAATGAGTATCTCTCACACCCCGACTTGCTTCCTTCTGTCTCTGCCCCTCATTTCTCTCATAGTTTAGTCTGTTGGTGGCTTTTTTCGGGGTTAGGAGGGGAAGGGGGGGGTGAGTGAGGAGGGTTTAGGCGCTGGCCACAAGCTGAAGGCTTGATTACAGTCCTGGCAAGAGAACAGAAGGCTGAGGGGCAGGAGGGATGAAGGGGATGGGGGAGAGGCGGGGGGGGGAGGATGGAGAGACCTCGGGCCCTGACTAAAAGCAGCTGTGGAGCGGGCGGGGGTGAAGGCCCTGTGTGCTCTTAAAGGGCTCAGAGAGACTGACCTCAGCAGAGCTCCACGTGGAAGTGCTAACACGTCCACGTTAGCGAACTTGGCAGATAGCTCGGCTTTAACTCACTTTAGTACTTCATCTGATTCTTATTTGGATTTCTCTTTAGAAGATAAGTCTCTTTTATTGCACTTTCGGTCGTATTTCTGGAGCTGTTTTTCCTAGTTTCTCGTACAGGGGTGCGCCTATAAGACTTGTCAGAGGTGGCTTAGGCCCCACAGGTGCCTCACTATTTCCACTATGACGAAAAAAGTAAATATTAATTGAGCTAAAAAGTCTTTACTCATCTGTTACATAAGAGAACTGCAGAAAAGGAATCAGACGACGAGTCAGAAATACAGTTTCTGTCTGTACAGATTCTTTTATGTTAGTTTGGGTGAATATTAACATTAGAGGGTTCAGTTTGTAGCCCTTTAGTGCCTGAAACCACTGAAATGAAATGTTTATTTCACTTTTTAATGAAAACCAAAAAAGTCAAAATGTCCTTAAAATTTAACAAATATATTTATTTATCTTGTTTGATACATTAGATGTTTTTGGAAACTGATAAACCACAAGAGGACATTTTTATCATTTATCGGACTGTTTTCAGGTGTTTCTTTTTAGTAATTTGTTGATCGTATTGATTTGATAGAAGTTTATAAAAGTATATATCAAATATGATACAAGAGGCATTAACGGGTTAAAGAAGAAAATAGTAGATGTAATCATAATATCCTGAGAATGAAGTCAAAACTTTTCAAAAAATAACATCATGTGTAAATAAAGTTGTCGATTCACTAGAATAGATTCCTAAATTCATTAAATGTACGCCAATAAACTTATTTAGTTTACAAGAATGAAGCTGTAATTTTATGAGAAATAATGCAATATTAGTGGTGCAGAGGGGTCAGCTGCACTAAACTGAAGAACATCCATCAACCTTGCAAAATGGAACTCAACACCAAACACGCAATTCGACTTTTAGCCCGCTAAACAGTCTGAAATCTGGACTCTAACGATAAAGTGGCCAAAAGATTGAGGATTCAGGTTATGAAACATGAAGAATAACTTAAGAAACACAGGCGGATACTCGGTTTAACTTCAAAATAAGCGTTTCGGCCAAAATTTTGACTTTATCCTACAATCTTTACAACTTTTTTTCTTGTTAATTTGCAAATTTATCAAGTAAAATTGCAGGTTTGTTCTCAGATCTATCTTCTTTCATTTAATGGTTCCAATAATCTGTCAGAAAGGAGTCAGAAAAGGTAAATAGATGCTATTTATCCACTTTTTTTTCACCCCTGCATGAGTCAGTTCCTGTCAAAAAAGTCTGGACTCGCCCCTGATCTTTGAGAAATGTCTAAAAAGAGAGTCAAGCGTAAAGAAATATAAGTAGATTTTAAACACATTGGCATTAAAAGAGATAATCTGAACCGTGTTAACACTAGAATAAAATCACTGTTTAAGCGTATAACAAAAATGAGAGCAACGCGCATATTGCCTGGTTTTGATAAATGTCACATTTCTAGACAAGTATTGCAGTTTGAGACTTAAGCAATCCATCAATAAATGTGTCACAAGCCATAAATTTCCATCCAGATGATCTGCAGCTTGTTGACTGCAGATATAAGTGCTGAACAGTCTGATTACTCTCAGGGATTCTCATCAGTTTCATATCTCAGGTGATGTTATTATAAATGGAAAATATCTGATCTGCCTTATTGAACTCTATCCATTAATAATGTTATAGATTTGAATCTTTTAAAAGATGGTTTTGGATCGGTGTCCCCGTCTTGTCTGCTGATTTTAGGGCTTGTTTGAAGTCTGTATGTTCCTCCTTTTGCACGTGTCTTTTTCAGGAGTTTGGTGAAATAATCAATGCTAATGATGGCCAAAACTACAAAGACATTACCATGCAAAGCTCCTTTAAAAGCCACTATACACCCAAATTTTTTAGAAGTAGCCTGAGAGAGTATGATACCTGTCAAGTTTGGATAAACAGCCGTAATTTTATAAGAGAGATCTTACATCCGAAACAGCATAATAAGTGGATTGGCGTTCGACAGCGTATGCAGAACCTCAAGAAGCCGATGAATCTGGTTACTGAGGCGTCAGTGTTTCAAGTGACTTGATGCTCTCTTCTCATGAAGCTTTTATCTATTCAAAACAAAGAAAAAAGAGAAAAATGGTGATGAGCTGGATGCGATAGTGCTGCCAGAATAATGATATATTCAAAATAATGGCTGTGAGAGAGCTCCCTAATGGCAATGTTGGGGAGGCGAGCATTGTAAAGCACCACGACAAGGCTAAACTCGTGTGGTGGATTTACATGGGGAAATAGCCGGCGACTCCCACTCTTTTTTCCTCACAATCCACCGTTCCTGCACATAAAAGATGTGCAATAGTCGACGCGGCGTCCTAGTATAGTTTTCTCACACTCCCACAAACCTTCTGTCATATGCAACAATGTCATGGGAGGAGGAAGAGGCACCAAAGAGGATCTAAATTTGTGATACGAACAGGATGTACAACAAAATTATGAGCCTAACACTATGGCATGTTCACATTTCACTTGGCTGCACTGTCATTCCTGCGCAGGAACAGGAGCGCGTTCCTGCCGCCCTGTTTTTGCCCCCCTGAGTGACGAGGACGGTCCGCTTTATTAAAGGGATATTTCATCCAAACACAGGGGTCCATTCACCCTCACTGATTTTGATTGACAGGTCGACTCCGGCAGAAAATCAAAGCAATCTGGGACGCATTGGGATTAAAGTGAGAGGGTCATCCCGGAAAAGGCGCAGGTTAGGGTGGATTTCCACGCGATGGAGCGTCGGATCAAACGCCTTTGTTTCGGATAAGGGCTTTAATGTGAAGATAACATGTTGTTGTTTGGGAAATGTCGAAATGCAATCTTAAGTATCCCTCTTGAATGTGAATCATCTCATTACCAGGCATTCTCACACTGAGATAATGTGAAGCATAATGTGTTTTATATCATCATGGTATGAAACAAGGCCAGCAGTGCACTGTGTAAAATCCCCTTCAGTGGCATTATTTTGGTCGTCAGTGGCATAAATTTGGATGTGAGAAACATCAAAGCTCCATATAAATGCCTTTCTCTTCATGTTGTCATCCTATCTTTGAATCACTCCCCCTCCCCCCCCGGGGCCATGGTTATTTACATTTTCAAATCTGCATTTTTCATATAGATCTGTCTGCCTCTGATTTTAATATCAGTGATGTTTCCCACGACACCTTTTGTTTTATTATGCATTATGAATTTCTTCCCCTCTCACTCCTCCCTCTCTCTCCCTCTCTCTCCCTCTCTCTCTCGCCTCCATCTTTTTCTAATCCCTATCCCCCACACTTGGCTTATGAGTCCCAGTGTTTTATCATGGGGAGAGAGATTTATCATTTCAATCTCATTTCAATAAATAAAATAATCTCTCTTCTCCTGTACGTGACAGCAGCTAATAGTATTTTGTTATCGGGGAGTGAAACTTTGCAGACTTGGTGCACTTGCTTTGCATTCTGCAGCCGCGTACAGTAGCTCGGCGCCGCGCTCTCCGTACTGCATTGTAAAAATGCGACTCCGGCCTACTTCATTACACTGAAGCATGATGTCAAAACTGTTTATTTGTTGATTTAATGGATGTTATAATGTAATACACATCTCTTACAGCGTGCATTCTGAGGTTAAACATAGCGTCAAGTTGGATGCTTAGCGATTAAATGAATAATGCACTCACTGGGTTTGGTTTGTACCTATTTAAGCACTAGTATAGGAACCCTCTTGTACCAATTCCCTCCTCTTAAAAGCTACTGGGCTGCACTCATGTATGCTTTTATCTTTCAGCCAGGATATGTTCTTAAAGCACGCTCTGTCAGATCCGCCTGCACTGTGCTGTGCAGAAGAACAAGAGCAGCCATCAAGACGACAGTTTTATTTTAATTGCTATCTCCCTTTCCTCCCGGTCCTTCATTTTCCCTTACCCCTGGAGCAAATCAACAGAAAAAATGTAAAAGGACTGACAGGAAAACAATTGCGTTTCAAATTGAACTCCCTGCAGAGTGTGTTCACTTCCTTAACCTGACATCCCTCCCTTCCCCACACATGGCAGAGGCGAGCCACACTAAAGCTGGAGAGGGAGTGAGAGAGAGAGAGAGAGAGATGGGTTGTGGGGGGAGAAAGAGAAAGAGAGAGAGAGAGAGACCGTCCTTTTGAATATGTGTTTTCTGTTTATCATTAGCTGACTGGGTGCTTCATCATTCGGCGAAAATCCCTATCTGCTGAACATAAGGCCGAGAGACAGCGGGGAATCAATCTTTTGTGCTTGGGCAGATAAACACAGGACGCAATCAGGGGGAGACGGAGCGACGGAGCAGGCCGCGGGACTCACGCCGCCGGTGATGGATGGCGGAAGTGAAAGTGTCAGGATGGCATTATGCAAATGGGGGAGGCATCCGAGCATCGCCCCGGTGATTATGGGAGATGGGAGAGCAGCCTGTGGTCCCCCTGGCACCGAGGCAGCCATTTTGGGGGCTCGTTGTCTCCCTACTGGAGCTGAGGGAGGAGAGAAGGGGGGGAGGAGATGAAGGAGGAGGAAAAGGGAGGGAAGAACGTGTCATGGTATCATTCCCTCACATGCGCCGCCGCCTCACACCCACCCCTTCACCCAAAAAAAAAAAGGGGAGGAATAAGTCTATAAGCAGAGTGAGAGGCATCTGTGTCATTTACTGAAACAAATGACCGAGCGTCTCCTTCTGTGGGGTTTGAACGAGGAGGGTGATAGAGATAGAACTCTGATGGAACAATCATGAATAATGAACTTGAACTGGACAGAAATAAAAAAAAAAAGAAAGAGAGAAAAAAGCTGGTCGGCGGTGATTTCGACAAGCTGAAACAACCGCGGCTCTCTGAGGCCGACGTGACCCCTGGGTGCAATGGTATCCATCCCGGCTGTGTCACTTCCACACACACGCACACACCAATCTCAATGACAAGCGAGCAGGACACACTCTCACACACACACACACACACACACTCCCACTATAATGACCGAGGATGCTGCTTGTATTCAAATGAGGGTTGAAGTGAGAGCGAGGCAGATACTTGAGGGAGCAGCCGGGGCCCAGAGGGGAGATCCAGCCGCAGTCCCCGCTGTACCATTACACTGAGATTGAATGAAGATGGAGACATGGAAAATATGATAGTGTGTGTGTGTGTGTGTGTGTGTGTATGTGTGTGTGAGAGCTGATGGGGACGGCGCAAGGAGAACGCCGCCCAGATGATGTATACACACGCGAGACTGAGTGTGTTTGTGTGTGATGTGAAATTAGCAGCTGTAGTCAGATGAGCCCATTTTTCTGCTGTTTACACAAGAGGAGAGGGAGATTGTGTGTGTGTGTGAGTGAGTGTGAGAACCAGGATCACACAATTAACCACAATCATCCAGTTTCTGTTTTTACAATCTCAAACTGTCCCCTCGTTTCTTTTTCTTTTTTTTTTTTTCTGTGCCCATTTTTAGTCGCTGTCCTAGAGAGACAAAGCGCTCTGAAGTGCCCGTCCTCCACCTCTAACTTCACCGCTCGCCACAACACACAGACAATACCACTCCGTTCCGCCTGATTGGATCCATTTGCATTGGACACCTCCTCTGCATATTGATTGATGGGTTTAATCAGCGAATCAGGGGGAGCGCTCAGACATCAATCTCTGTCAGGCACCTACCTTTTTTCCGTGCCTGTGATTCCCTGCTAGGACTCATCAAGGAAAGCAAGTTTAGACAGAGAAAGAGGGAAAAAAAGAGAGAGGAGGGAGGGGGAGGGAGAGAGAGAGAGAAGAAGAAAGGCGCGCAGGGATGCAAGGAGGGGAAGGACAATGTATTTGAAATAAGTTCAGGTGGATTTCTCTGACTGGCCGCGGTGAAAAGCAGATCAGGTGTAGAATAAAGGAGGGCTGTGAAGCGATTTAGGAGTGGAATAGAGTGGATTTGCGCGCCTCGTTCAGTAATGCAGAAAATGTGAGTCCAGCATTGCAAAGTTTCAACACCTCAGAGCGAAACGTCTTATTCACTGCTAATTAATCCTGCGTATTAACATTCATACATTTGATCTTATAGGTATTCAAACTCCCCTCCTTCTTCATCACCTTCTTCAAATCAAACTTTTCTTCCTCTTTTTTTTTCCCGCCTAAACTTTTGTGCATGGCGGTTAATGGGGGGGGGGGCGATGACAAAACAGTTAACTAATTGGCATCAAGCAAAGTGCAGTCTTAAGCGCCCTCCTCCTGTCGTATTTCACAGGTCCTACATCAGGTGTAGCTGTCAAAGTCACAGGATCAATAGAAAGAGGAGGAAAAAACAGCCTTTTTTCGCTCCTCCGCTCCCGCTGTTTGTCGGCGTGTTTGTGTGTGCACGCGCGCGTCTCCAGTTGTATATATAGAAAGTGTTAATTGAGTTGTGATTGCCATTGTGTGCCTCATCAGGGGAAGAACAAGACCCCCCCCCCTCCTCTTCTACACACACACACACACACACACTCCACCTCTACCCCCTTCCCCATGTCAGTGTGAGAGTGTACCTGCGACACATCGAGCTGACAGATACTTCATTTCCTTCTCACTTGATAATTACTGTAATACAAACTCAATTAAAAGTAAGCAGCTCAAAGAGGAGAGGAGATGAGTTTGATTAAAATTTGAATGAAAATACAAATCTAAGAATACATATTTTTACAGGTTTGTTCGGGAGAGTGTGAAATTTTTAAAAATGGGCACGGATATCGAGTCACGATCGAGGAAGTTGGAAGTTTTGTCGAGAGTTTTGGACGATTTTCTTATTTATTTTTCAGATCTGATTTTCAGGTGTTTTGCAGCGAATAAGAGATTTGGAGACTCCCCTCTGGGAGCACGGCGCTGAGGTCGGTTTAACGCAGACCAGACAATTGTCATGAAACATCACACACAACTAGTAAAAACACTCAATGAACTCTATCCTTCTGTATTTCAACATTTGTTTAGGCTTTAAGCATTTTTTTTATTTCTTCTATTAAACTCAATTACTTCCTGTGTGAATCTGGCCTTGACGGAAAAAAAAAAGGGCCCCATAATTCAGTTCTGGGGAGAAGAAGAAGAAGAAGAAAAAAATAAAAAAAAACCCAACATTGCAACATGCTCGTTTTTTTGGAGGAAGAAACTTTTAATACCCTCAGCTCTTAATGACGGCGCTGCAATTAGAGTGGCTGCATTTTTGCTCTAGCCGCGAGTCAAAGGAAAACAAATAAAGCAGCTCGATTTAGAAACCTTATTAGACTTTGAGTCCCTGAGCAATTAAAGTATTACAGCTGAAGTGCTTCTGTGAACCCACCGATGGAAAGCATTTATAGGTGGTCTTTACGTTACTGGTGGTCTGTTACTGGGCGCTTTTGCTTATTTGCACCGTTCGGAGCTGCAGTCGTTTGGCGTTTATGTGTCGTGAAGGAGTATTGGACGATTAAAGCTCTTATGGTGTCTGTCAAGGACAAATTATTCACATAAAAACTTTTCTGGCTCGTTTTGTGTGACAACATACGACACTTATTTAAAGTACAATGATTAAAAACTTAAACACATCTCATCTTTTTGAAGCCGTCACTCTCTGTAATCGTGTATCTGCAAACCCCATGCAGGGTCTAAATTGGCTTGGCTGTGATGATGCCCTTTGCAGTGCAATCTCTCCAATTTGATGCCTTATCAAATTACCAACCCAGAGGAAATTAATGGTATCATCTGTGTCACGGCATTGATGTAGTTTCACTTAGCCTCAAACACTATGGTCCTAATTGAATGATTAGATTCCTCTAGATTTTCTATCCATCTTAATACTAATTACAATCACAGATGAAAACCGAGTGGCTTATGTGTCAATTTGACAAATAAAATCCAGGTAAAAATGAGAAAAAATGATGTCTCAATCAGAGAATTTAATAAAAGATAATTGTAATGGGCTCTAATTGTGGTGGAAGTGTTCTGAGGACAGGTGGAATTTCATTTTCTTCCTTATATTTTATACTAATGAGTTGTAATGCACTTTTGGAAAGGAGCCCAAGAATGAAAGACTAGAACCTGATGTGCCACTAGGGGGGGTGCTGATGCTTTTTGGCCAAAGTCTGAAAACACGCCACAGTCGAAATGTTCTGTCTCCTTCACATGCTTTCCAGCCGTGAGGAGAAGAGGCAGCAAAAGGGCGAATAAGGAGGAAAAAGAGGGAGCCTGTGTGTGTGTGTGTGTGTGTGTCACATGACTGCTTAGATTACAGCTCTATCTCCTCTAACTTTGTCGTATAGTTTTCACCCTCCGCCTGTTAAGACTATAATCCCGCACATACACACACACTCTCTCAGAGCTGTGACCTCCCCTCTCTCTCAGACCGCTTCTGACACCTCCCGCTCGGCCACCTTTGCCCCGGCTCCTCCCCTCCGATCACTCGGTGAGAGTCCCCCGCCATAATTGACTAATGACCCCGTATCAATATTTGGCTGTGGTCACAGGCTTTCAGTACTGTTGTAATTTAAAGTGGATTAGTGTTCGCCTCAGCACGTTTCTTTTGGCAGCCAGCCAGTGGGACGAGCTTTTGATAACAGGTTCCTTCTTGCGTGAGTGTGTGTGTGTGTGAGTGTGTGTGTGTTTCCACTGTGTGTGTGTGTGTACTTGTCTGCCTTGTGTGTTTGTGTGAACTACATAAGCTGCCCATTGCCCTACGGGACTTTAGACACCAAAGCGGTAAAAAAAAAAAGGGCTGCAGTTTTTCCCGATGAGGAGATGGGAGGACACACACACATAAAAGCACACGCACACACAAACAGACTCACACACACACATATGCAGGCTCTGGCTGCACTGCCTGAGCCTGTTCCAGTGAAAAGCTGAGGTCCCAGTCCAAGTATTTATGCTGCTCTCCCACTGTGAGCGACACATGAAGGGGGGAAAAAGCAGCCGACAAAACAACGATTTTGAAAAGTTTGCATAAAAAAGCCACAATATCTGCACTTTTTTTAAAATGTGAAGTTTTATATCCCTGCAGTGACGTACAATACATTCAGTCAAACTAATGAAGCGATATCACCAGAACACATTGGCGGTAACAGAAATCATGAGGATCATCTTAACGATTTGAAAACTGCTGAACTTTATTCCCAAAAAGAAGATATTTCTTTAAATTCATCATTAAAAGGAAATCCATATTGAAATGTAACAAAAGGGTTAGAGTTAGGGTTTAGGGTCAGGGTTTGGGTCAAATCAAGAGGCACTTCTTTCAAAGTAAATAACAAACCATAGTTTACAATTTTTGGGTGCCAATCAGATTTCACTTTTCCGGTATGACCCTAATCCCCAATTTCCACTAGCAGCTGATCGTAACCATTCAAGTTAGCGTGACAATTTCCATCGGCTTCTTTCTGTTCCACTGCGTCTCAACGGACTCCCCAACTGATCGCATAACTTCTATTTTTTCCCGATGCTGGATAAATCCAGCACAGATTTACCCGTGCTGGAAAGGAAGTCGGGCACAGACACAAAATAAAATATCCAGCTCGTGTTTTAGGCCGATCATATTTTAGGTTTATAAACAGCATTTCACCCCGATGACACCATGATGCCTCCTCTGGAAGGACACAATCTCTGCTTTTATGCTTATGTGGCCAAAGACAACTTGTTATCACGCGATCGCATGTGAATCCATGGGTTCTTGTGAGTTTTCGTGATTACTGCTGTCGCCTCACAAACAAAATCACTTCTGTTCTGGATGTGGTGAAAATCGGGGGTTAGGGTTAGGGGTCAAATCAAGTGGCACTTCTTACAAGGTAAATAACAAACCAAACTTTTGGATTTTTGGGCACCGATCAGATTTCACATTGCCGGTATGACCTTAAGTTCTCTCAGCTTTGACCTCAGACAGCTTTGTCCTGAGACAGTTTCCTCAGAGAGAGACCAGCCTGTCAAATGAGGCGCTCATGGGAAATGCAGTCTTTCTCTGATTATGTCCAAAGAGGTCCCCACACTAAACACAATGTGAAAACTCCTTACACCGACTTTAAGAGATTAAGCGGCCGAAACTCATGCCACTTGCAGTTCAATTGTAATGGTAAATATTTTGTATAAATTTGGGGGTATACGCACCTATAAACTTAATGTCACTTCTGCATATATAAGCGGGCCATCTGGGTTTACCCAAGTCGAAAAAAGTCTGGACGCACTCCTGCAGTTTCACCAATCTTCACCATGAAAACATTACAAGGTGTTTATGTCATTTATCTCATAGTCCAGATTATGTTTCCTGCATTAGAGAAAAAGAAATAATCCGAAAACTAATCCTCAGTGAAAATCTTATTTTGTCCTGTTGTTTCTAGATCAGTCTCTTAATAGGTCTATTTTAACCTTCAACATCTCTATCTCTTTCTTATCACCTTTTAACTCTTCATTGTTATGGAGGAGCTCTGAGTTTTGGTACAAAAACAAGGCATTCAAACCCGCCTTTCATTTTCCTAAAATCATTATAAAGTATTCAGACATTTCCCTCCTCTTGTCCCTTTATGTCTGGGCTGTCTTGGCTGATCAGACACAATCGAGTCCAGACTTGTCCAGATACTCCGTCTTTAAACAAACCTTACAGCTCTACTCCAGTAATACCCAGACAGACAGACAGACAGACAGAGAGAAAGACAAACAGCGAGACTCTGACCGTGTCTTACCTTGTCCCTGCGCCGCTCTCAGTATGCAGAGAGCGGAGGCAGAGTGTTTATCTCGCTCGCTGGTGGAATGTTTGTGTAACTGAACGCTACGCTGATCGAGTTCAAATCACGGCAGGATAATTAAAACATGTTGATCCCTTCAGTCATGGGGAAGGGGCAGATTTATTAATGATACACTTACCACAGCCCCGTGGACTGCACGCACACAGCTGAGAGATGGTAATATTGCATGAAATCGTTGGTTAGATTGTCATTTACCTGCGGGCCCGTGCCAGTGTGAGTGGTCTTTCATGTAAATGAATTTGTGCTGCGAATGAGAGAAAGGAGAGACAGAGGGAGGAGTGAGAGATGGAATTAATAGCTCGGGGTCATGGGGATAATGATTTCTTCATGGACCCAGTCAGAGTCAAATGGCCCAGGCGTCTCGTTTGGTTATTTTTGAAAGGAGGGAGTGAATGTAAGGGTGAACATTACACGGAACAGGGGCATTTACTGAATATGTAAACGCGTTTGGTTTTATGACAGGGTCTACATGCCAACAACGTTTTCCAAATGACCCACTTTGTATTCACGCAATGCAAATTTGCCGCTGCGTCGTTAGACCTGGTTGATTGAGTGTTGCTCCCATATGTTAAACAAGAGAACATATAATTTGCTCATGATATCAAAATACGGTGACGTTAACGGATGGAAAAAATATTCCCTACGAGTCAGGCGCAGCTTACCTGGTCAAGTTTAACCCGGGTTAGGGGGGCGTTATGGGACCCAAAGCTCTGAAAGGGTCAATGAGAACCAAGATTATGAGTTCAGGTAAATCAGTAGATCACAGATAAAACTAAAACCAACCAATTTTTACTGATACTGCCTTTAATCAAACAAAGTGAACCCATTACACTTAGTTTTGTTACATGATGCAGACGGACCCAACATTAGGGTGACCGTGCGTCTTCTTTTACCCGGACATGTCCTCTTTTGGGGGGACTGTCTGGCCTTGTCCGGTCTTGTCCAGGGGAGTCTATAAAATCCTTCAAATGTCTGCGGTTTTGTATGGAAGTTTTGAGATTGTGTAACGTGGACTAACTGAGTTAGAACTACCCGCGACTCCGCCTCGTGTAGTAGCGTGCTCTTTTTGGGGATTCAGAATATGGTCACCCTACCCAACATTCATCCAACAAAGCGAAAGCAAACCAGGAGCAGAATCAGACTCACTGGTGGACGGTCATCTGCTAATGGGACTGGCCTGGTATTTGGGGGAAGGAGAGATGGACAACACCAAACACACAAACACACTGACTTTAGGATATCAACCTCAATGCATCATGGTCTAAAATAACTCGTAATCAAGCGCCATTTTGTCAGTTTGAGCACACCACAGTTTAGCCGTGGAGCATCTTCCTGCTGCTGCTGCTGGTATGATGCAATCTAATGACACCACTGCACTTTTGAATGTCACATTTCACTATTTAAAACTCCTGCAGCTTACAGATACAAGCACTGTGAGTTAAATTTGAGTCCAGTCTGAGCTACAACCTCTGAGCAAAGCACACAGGGTCAACACAGGCATATGGACGGAACCTCATTTGGGACAAAAGTATGGTTAACTGCAACTATTTGAAGAACAAATTAAGATGCAAATTGAGAACAGATTAAGATGCATTATGATGAATTTAAAATGCAATTTTAAGAATAAGAGTTAGGGTAAGGGGGTTAGGGTTAGGGATGGGTCAGCTGATCAGCTGCTCCTGGAGGTACCGAGGTCCAAACGGAAGCTCAGAGGGGATAGATCTTTTTCTGTTGCAGCCCCAAATTTATGGAACGAGCTACCCCTCCAAATTAGACAAGCCCCCACCCTGTCCATTTTGAAAACTGGTCTTAAAACCCATTTTTATTCATTGGCTTTTAACCCTGCATGAGACTCGGCTCCTTTTTTAGTGTTTTATGGTTTGTTTTTAGTTATTTGTTTCTATGTTTTTAAATTAGTTTTTAAAAACATTGAAACTATATTTCACTTTTAATTCTGCTTTTATTTTATCCATTGTTTTAATTGTTTTTTGATTGTTTTTTTTATCTTGTTGTTTTGTCTAGTTATGTACAGCACTTTGTTCAGCTGTGGTTGTTTTAAAGTGCTTAACAAATAAAGTTGAGTGAGTGAGAGTGAGATATCACCATATACCCAGATATGTCAGATAGTAGCAGTCAGGTGGCCTTTGTATAACTGCATGTGGGTTAAATGCATTTTCTTTTTTAAACATTGCTTAATTAGGGTTAGGGTTAGGGTTTCATTCATTGGTACTGTAGTAGATACAGTTGAAAATGTGCGGTACTTGAGTTCAAGACAGATTTTCTAAAGGAGGCAACAATGTGCATCTTATGATACCATTCATCATATCTACTGTATTGTATCTATCGTATCGGATAGAAGCAGTCGTCTCTCAGTCCTCAGACGAGTTTCCATCAAAGTCTCTAATCCTCCCGATCGCCATACACTTGGCTTTCAGCTCCCGCATCCTCCTTCAGGACGTCCACATACGTTAGCGCTGAACGTCCTTGCAAACGGTGCCCGTGTGTTGTAGTACCAGCTCAATACCTCCTGACCTGAGCACCTTGTGAACGGTTCGTGAACCCTCATCTATCCCAACATCTCCTCCTCCTTTTTTCACTTCCCTGCTTTTTTCCCATCTGATTTTGTTGAACTTTTCCCTCTGACAGCATATTTCCAAACCCTCTCTGCATGAGCCTACACTCATCCTCGACATCATCACAGTTATATCTAGTATTGGACACATGTTAGGGTTAGGTCTGCTATTATGGTTGCATCCTTTGTCTGTTTTCTATCCGGGTTATGATGGGCAGATAAGTCGATGTTGCCGATGTTCACAGCTTTGGTCTCATATGTAAGAATTAAAAGCTTTCGGGTTACGAAATGAAACGATTTGCATAGTTTTGCTGATGCAACATCTTGCAGTTAAACCCCCTTGTGTTGCCGTGGCGTCCTAATATTTTAACAAATGATCATATAATTTTACAAAGATTGTGGCGTCTAAAGCTGCTCCTTAAACGAAGATAACAACAAGTCAGACACTCAGCGCATCAAAGCAGACAAAGAGCTGATTTCAGGGCATAAATCCAAACTTTCAAGTCAGCCATGGCACTCATACCCCTCCAGCGCTAACTGTGAACACACACACACACACACATAAAAGTGCAGGTGTGTTTTTCCACCCGCCCTCTGTCATATCTGAATAGGGGGTGGTGGCGTCAAAAGCTGCTGGTCAATCTCTTTGCACATCTTTTGTAAAGGGGGCAAGTCTGACAGAGTAAACCAGCATGGACACATGTGAACATAAAGAGGGGACCTCACACCCTCGCCTCCCCCATGCTGAAAGGACCCGGTGGGGGTGTGAGCAAGGAGGGAGAGAGGAGGGAACGCAAAGGAGAAAGAGGGTCCAGGCCAGGGCCCTAATGGTGGGAACAGTGCGGAGGTGAAGCCGTCTTTTTGTTCGCTGTGAATAAAAGAGGCTTTTGAGAGGCAGCGTGTGTTTTTGTTCCACGGAGGGCCATCGAGGCTGCAGGCCATGCTCGTCCTGGGTTGTTGGAGGGGGCAGGGGTGTAGGCGGGACAGGAGTGTGGACACAGGCAGAAGACAGAGTTACTCGCTCCAGGGAGAGAAATATGCTACTGCGAGGGTGTTACAAGGAGGACAGCGTATCATCTGTCTATGAAGAAAAAGAGAAGAAGAGGAGGGGAGGTGAGAGAGTGAGACGGAGCTTTAGAAAGAGACAGATGGAGACAGAAGGGGGGGTGAAGAAAGTGAGACAGAGAGAAGGAGAAGGAGAGAGGGAGAGGCGTGAAGGTGCTTTATGGGGTACTTAGTGGCTCATGTATCCAAGCTGCTGTCATTTCAGGTCATCTATTGTGCCGTGTGCAGCTGTACACACCTGATTTTTCTGCTTCATACTCCAAGTTTTTCTTCATGTGTTTGTATCAGGATCATCCAAATCCCTGTTTTTTTAAGTATTCGTGGACCCAAACTGCCAATTAAATCAGGATAATCTGCATGACATTCATACGACAATGACCTATTGTGGCGGTGACGGAGACGCCGCTTCAGGCAGGCAGCGGTGAACTCTGGCTGCTCCCCGACCTGTCTGACCTTTCCAGCAGTTCAACTTCCACACACCAGCGCTGATTGATCGGCCTTCAGGGCCCTTTAAACTGTTCCCTGTCTGCCGTTCTGACGGAGCAACAAAAATGTGTGATTCCTTCACTGAAACCCGATCTTTATAGGGATAGTAACAGGATCACATTTGTGTCTTGTAGGCCCGTGTTTTACACCAACAGCATTACAGTAAAAAACCATGACGGTGTTGCTAAAGCTGGAGCAAGTTCCCCTGATCGCTGTCATTTGATGCAAGATGGTTGTCAAACTCATTTCAAACAGTTTTACAGACTGAATCATTCAAAAAAGCTGTACCATCATGCTCAAGTTGTCCGTGATCCGTCTTAAAGTCATGGTTGACGATTGGAGAGATTGGTTATTATTACGAACCTCCTTTATATGGCGATCATGGTCCTATGATGCGATCTCCACAAAGTGAAGAAAAAAAGGATGGAAAAAAAAATGTTCAGGGCTGCAAAAATATTGACCAATGGGAGCCATCCATCCCGGACAGCTCCTATTGGTCAATCTCCTGCTCCGCCTCTCTCAATCCAATCATCTCATTGTATTCGACACACCCCTCTCCCGTAGTTCCGACTCGTCCCCTCCCACTCTCCCGGCCCTCCTCGGAGCTCTGAGCGGCTAAAAGTAGCATAGCAGCTTAGCTACAGGAGCTGTGATGGAGAAGGACGCAAAAAGAAATGCCAAAGTGCTAAGAAAACGCAAGCCAACAGAAGAAAGGTCAGAGTCGGAGAGGAAATGTGACCAAGCGAGGAATCTAATTCGAATAAACATCTGGTCATCCTTTGAGTAGTGGAGAAAGCTCCTCCAGGATTTGGCCCTGAAAACAGACACTGAAACAGCAGAGTTTTAAGCCGCGTTCAGACCAAAAGAAACATGGCGACAGTCGAGTAGCTAGTGATAATGAATATTTGCGTAGGAGACAGAAACAGAGGCAGCGTTGGAGGAGGCAGTGGTCGGTCAGGCCACTAAATGCCTTGAGAGAAATTGACCACGATCTTCAAAAAGCCCGTCCATTTTCTTCTTCGTTTCTCTCTAAAGATGCGTATCAGGTAGTGACAGCAGCAACACTGCCCCCGTGGTTTCCGGTGGTACTGCTCTGTCTGGCCCGTATCCGTAAACTTCAAGAACGGGAAGCATAGACGGAGACCTCCTTCCGTTTCCAGATCCAAATGTAACGTTGAACATAAATGAGCCTTTACCATGCGTGAGCAGGGAAAGCAACCTTAGCATTGCTGCTCTGAGTGATGTGAATTAAGGCTCCTTTTAACGATCCAGATCCGAGTACGTAACGACTAACACGTACTCCTCACCTCAGCGTAGATGTCATCTGTCTCTGCGGTTGGTTCCTGCAGTGGAGTCAGGAAAGACTAAGTGAGTAAAAGTTTTTGTAAAATCATTTTTCAAATAAAATCCACATTTAATAGTCGATACAGAGAGAAATACCACCAATTAACTATTAACAGATGGATGGATGCATGCAATTATACCGCATACCACGGTACTGAGCCAGCTTGGATCACTGCAGGAGGGTTTCCTCACTGTTACAGCCCGACTTTAGATGTGAGAGCATTAGTCTTTAAAGGTTGACAGCATTGGACCGCATAATTACGCAAAGAGTTTCATGTACATTCGATTGTTTTACAACTTAACATATGGAAAGGGAAAAAAAATCAGGTGCTAATCTGTTTGCCAAAGACATGAAATGCATTGTTCAAGCAAAAGGAAGAACTCGTAGGTAAAATCGCTCTTTAGATCCTACGGCGTGTTAGGAAAACTCCTGAAAATTTCCAGACCAGGGTGGCACGTGTGAACACAACCAAAAATTTACCCTGATTTTATTTAAAAAGTAAAAAGTTTTTCCTTTTTTTTTAACAAATAAAAGTTGACATTTTTACGGTTCACACTTTTGACATGACAGTTACAACACACCGAGCACTGTGATGAGTAGAGGAAAGGGTGCTCTGCTCACTGCCATGACCTTGCACTAATGTGACAGCGCAGGTGTTACGTGTCACTTTTTACCGTCAGCTCTCTATTCATTACTACAGCCTCAGGTGTCTCGACTTTTTCTTCTTTTTCTATCTTTTTACTTCAAGTTTTTTAGTGGATTGTGGGACATACTGTACCTTTAAATGTCACTTTAGGCGTGAGGGAGAGTTTGTCTGTAGAGCAGAATATTATAGATGGGATCAGGTGACATCTCAGAGTGGAGGATAGAGGATTGATACCTTTAAGGGGTGAAAGAGGGGAAAGTAAAGGGACAGTAAAGGTTGCTGCTGTTGGCATAATGCTGTGTTTGCTGTTTTAAAATATAAAAAAGAAAATTTACAGAAACGACAAACTTGATACAGACTGTTCTGAAATTATTTGGAAAAAAAAAGTGTTGAGTAGTGCGTTAAAAAAATGTTTATACTAAACACTTAAAGGCGCTGTGAGTGACTTTGATGTTGTGTTGAATTTGGCGCCCCCTCTTGGACAAAACCGTTTTTTTTCCCTGGATGAGGACTGCATTTCCCATGAGCACTATCATGTGGCTCCTGCTGAAGTGTGCATATGTCCTGGAAGCAAAATTTTTTTTTTAAGGATGGTAAGGGAAGGTCCCGCCCTCCTTCGCCTCTGATTGGCTATCAGTGCCGAGCTCCGATTGGTTATTCCTTATGGCCGTAAAATCGCCCCTTCTTGATTCTTGATTCAGTTGGGACACAGTCGTGTTTACATTCTCCACCATGTTTTTTTTTTACCTGTTTTTTTAGTACGCAAAATCTGATTGGTGATGCTCTCCAGTCTGGTTCTCTCATTGGTTGTTGCAGGTATTCTATTGACGACAGTTTAAACCATTGCCATTTGTCAATCTTGTTGTTAATAATCTTATTTTACATCTATTTTATATAAATCAGCTTAAAACTCCTCACCGTGCAGCTTGAAATGAAAGGCCATAGATGCGACATCACATGATGATACCTTTTGTGTCCAAATCTGCACATATACACAATAAAACAGTGACGTTGAACACTAATGTTGGTTAAATCACATAGAGAAGTTCAGAAAATGCTTGAATACACCTGCAGAAGACGATTTTATGAGTATCTGCTTGTAAAAAAAACGATCTGCCAATTTGAAGTTGCAGTCACGTGAAAGGAATATGAAATCTAATTAGTCTACAATGTTTCTCCACACTTTACATGGCAGTGCATCACGGTTTGATATATTGTTACATGGCCAATTAGCATCTCGTAATGCTCAGTCAGCCACAAAGCTGGAGGTCAAAGGTCACGTTCGCTCTAGTCTGGGAGAGAATGAGACAGAAGCGGGAGCGGCGCGGCAAAACGGAGGATGGAAATCAAGCATTTCAAGGCTCATTTTATTGTAATAGATGACAGATAACAGGAAGTTCTGCTGTTATTATTATAAATACGAATGAATACAGGCAAATGGCAGATTATATCTCGCTGCGTCTATGTGGGGGAAACATCACAGGGTCTAGATAGCCTGTGGATTAAACAGCGACTTCCCTCAAGCCGCTCCTTATCTCGAACTAGATCCTATCTTCGCACAGGTACGGTGTAAATGTTCCTCGAAAAAGACGCCATTACAATGCACACAGTCGTGTGTAAAAGGCAAATGAACTCTTATAATAGCCTTTATCTGAGCACTAATTGCCATAATCCATAAATCATACTCAAAGATTGCATCACCTAAGGGCTGTCAAGTATCATAGACGCATGATAAAGCGTTAGAATCGGTTAATCACCTCTGACAACGTGTATAAAATGATTGAATGACTCCTCTTTAGAAAGAAGCTTTGTTTGGATACGTCGGGAGGGAGGAAGACGGCCTCCGAAGAAACGTGTTTGCAGTCCACTGTGATGCTCGTTTGTCAGAGAGAGAGAGAAACAACTAAATATCACAATCACGCCATCGCATAACAGTCATGATCTCACACCAGGACCCTCCATTAGCCGCCCCGCGTGTTTACATTGCAGGGCTCCGATCACAAACAGTTCGGTTTTTTTTCCCGCTACTGTTATTTATCACATGCAAAATGGGCTGGGACATGCTGATGTATGCCATCAGCAGCGACAATGATAACCAGGACAATAATTACGCAAAGCCTGACTCATCCATCACCGTCACTTATCACTTTAACAATCAGGAGTTAAAGAGAGCGACGGGTGGAGGAGGAAAGACGAAAGGGAGGGATCCTGGACTGAGAGTCTCTGATCCGTTTTCCAGGCGAGGATTTTCCTGTTTTGCCGCCTTCACAAACTCGCTGTGGTCGTCGGTGTCACTTAAGGCGATGTTTATTAAGAGCACGTAAATAAAAGTGTAACACGGCTCTCGCTGCTGATTGTTATTGTTCAGATTTCTCCCTTTATCCGAGCACTTTGATGACTTTTCATCAACACTAGCTCAAAACTTTTGGTAAATAAGTTCCCTCTTGACCTTAAAAACAGCAAATAAAGACGATCCTCTTGAAAAAAAAGAAAAAGATTAAAGAACGCAAAACAAAAATAATCTAAAAAATGACTTTTGAGGCTTAATTTTGAGGTGAGCCCAGAACAAAAGTGAGTGTACACTTGTGTTAAGGGACACAAAAGTAACCGAGTCTTTGCAGACAGTGTGACGAGAGTCGAAATGAATGAGGTTCAGGGATCAGGGCTGCAAACTCTGCCTTGAGTTTCAAACAAATTAAAAAGACACTTTTAAATTCATTTTCTGTGTTTTAATTTAGATTACTCTAAAGGTTAGTTCACTTGTGTCTCTGTTTTTATAAGCGGCTTT